GCTTGTGAGTGATTTTATAAACGTCATTTAACTTGTTTCTGATTGTCTCTCAATCCCCAGGTGCTGCATGATCCTTAAGTAGTGTAATAATAATAATAATGCCAGGCTTGAACATAGCTAATGAGTGGGACTCAAGGGTAACTATAGGAAACAAAAACTTTACGATTCCCAGATTATACCTTTATTTCCACTATAATAATATATTGAAGGGAACACAAAACGTTCTCATACCAAATCAAAAGCGAATATGACATCATTTCAGTAGGTCTCATAAAGAGGCAACACTTACGAGTTTACCACTTTCTGGTTAACAAAACATTAAAGATTATAAGATAGTGCCCTTCAATAATAATTCTACTAAATCTTACTACCCTATACAGGTTAGTTTTTTTTACAATTAACTGATATCCTGAGGGAGCAAACAGAAGCAATTTTTGCATCTAATTCAACACCGTTCATGGAGACAAATGCACAGAATTCACTTGCTTTGATGTGGGGAAAATATTGTTTGTAGCTAATGGTCTCAAACCGGGTCGGGGGGGCGTTGACCCCCGAAACCCTCTCCAGGTATACTCCGGGTATACTGTGTGAATGTTTAGTCTCTGGAATATTTATATGGGAAATCTCCTTGTAGTTGATACAGCTAGATGATCGATGTCACTGGTGGACGGTGACTTCAGGTGCAGGTGGTGAGTCTGGTGACTGTCAGTTGTGGGTAGTGACATCAGTGTTGGGTGGTGATGTTAGCTTGTGGGTGCTGAAGTTAGCTGTCCGTGGTGTCGCAGATCGTGGAAGTTACGCGCAGCTGGTGCCACAGATGGTCATACAACCAGTTTCGTGGTCAGTTACAGATGGTGATGTCAGCTCGATTGTGAGTACGACTCGAATATGAACACATCCAAATCGTCTAAGAGACTTCAAAGATGGATCTCCCTCACTGCAGCTATGCCATGACATTTCCCTTGCTAGGCCAGCTGGGTGCCACTGCTGTGCTTATACACACATACACACACTTGCGAGTCGAACTATCAAGTCTATAACAAGGTGCTCTGCATGGTGTGACGATGACAGTTGGCAACACATTAGAAGTCTTTTGAGGTGCCGGGGAGGCCAGGATGACCTGAAGAAGGAGGAGGCAGCAGAATACGGGCTGTATCTTCATGGTGTAGCTATGATCTGCTAACTGATACCTACTGCTTCTTGCTACGCCTCACCTCTACCTCATTCATACTTCCCCTGCCTCTTCTTGGCTTTACTTTTCATCATATTTCTGTCCTAACCTGATCTATCCTGCCCTGATCCCCCTTATTTACACATTTTTTTTTTTACACATAATCACTAAAAAGACAATTTTGTCGCAGAGAAAAAAAGTGGCAGGCCGAATATATATAATCTTAACATTGCATAATTTCATACATGGTAACTCAACACAAAAAGTAAGCCATTTATTTTTCATTTCTTTTCGATTATTTTCGTATATTGCCGAGCTCAACGAATCTCCCGAATCAACTTACTCTATGCAGTTATGTCAGCAGAAAATTCCATCGAGGTTTCTAATAACTGTATTCTTGTGGTTTTTTTTTTCCCCTTCCGTGACTGCTTAACGTTTATTTAACTCGTCGGTGCAAATTATTTATATATGAAGAACTTGTATTGCTGCATCTTTCAAGCAACAGGGGCATACATGCAGTAGTGACAATTTATGAAGAATTAACTCGGATATATCCAAACACGGAATGCGAAGGTCACCCCTCATGGCCGTTTTTTGTGTATTATAAATAAGTTTCCCAGCACTGTGGTTTCCCTGGCTTATAATGCATATAATCTTATGTGTATGTAGCCTACATATACATGACTTACGAAGGAGAATGAAGGACGCGAAAATATATAATTTCACAAAATGTTGATAGCATTCGACTCACAACAACAGGGTCCTGAGTTTGACTTCCCAGTGAGTCAATGTGTAGGTATGAGTCCTTAACATACCTGTTGCCCTTGTTCACCTATCAACAGATAGGTACCTGGGAGTACGTTTCCTAACATCTGCTGCTCTTGCTCACCTGTCAGTAAATATGTATCTGGGAGTGGATTTCTGTAGGTTGTGTATGTGGGAGGACACCAGGGTTATGGGTCGTATCTGTGGAAGGACACCAGTGTTGTGTATCGTATCTGCGGGGAACACCAATGGAAACAAGTCGTCATGCAGGTACAAATTAGTGTCAAATGTGGGGGCACATCTCCACACCCGACCCACGATGATACATAAAGTGGGACATACCTCTGCACATGAAACACGATGATACATAGTGGGACATACTTCTGCACATGAAACACGATACTACATAGTGGGACATACCTCTACACGTAAAACACGATGATACATAGAGTGGGACACACCTCTACATATGAAACACGATGGTACATAGTGGGACACACATCTACACGTGAAACACGATGATACTTAACGTGGATACACCTCTACACCTGGTTCTGGCCTCACAATATCAGGTTCATGCTGTTTCTGACCGGTTCTCTTCTTGGAATCTCACAGGCGGGTGGGTGACGGTCTGGGGAATGGGTAGGGGTAAGGGATTGGTGGAGTAGGCACTCTCTAGCTGGTGGGTGAGGGGGATGAAGGAGGAAGAGAAAATATTCTAAGGACAAACAAGGTGACATAGCGCACATCGTGTTAAATGGATGCATATTAAGCACCCGGAGACTGCATATGCCTCCAGTTGACGGTCTTTGTGTTCGGATAAGGCAAATTAAGTCGTTCTTGCATTCTCATATAATTACGGACTACGCATTTTAAAGCGTTACATTTTGAAATATGCTGAACGAAAATCAAAATATTAACTCATTGTTGTATTAATGTTGGTAGAATTACCGACAATATGTTAGGTATAAGGATACAGTGGTTGGGGGAGAGAAGGGAGACTTGCTGGATGCTGATGAAAGGCTTTTAATTCAAGGAATTGGAGTTACGTTCCCTTTCTTCAGACCAAACCTGATTACTTTCCATTCCACAGATGCTGGCCCCTCAAAGGACGTTCCTTGACGCTGATGAGGGGCTCTTAATCTAGGAATTGGATCTGTGCTCCAGTTCCCCCAATAGAACCTGAATACCTTCCATCATCCCCCCCCCACAGGCGCTGTATAATCCTACGGGTTTAGCGATCCCCCAAGATTATAATAATAATAATAATAATCCACAGATGCTAGATAACCCTTGCTGGCTTAGCACTGAGTATGGCTCTTAGCATTTCACAGCATTTATTATTATTATTATTATTATTATTATTATTATTATTATTATTATTATTATTATTATTATTATATGACAAATGTTGTGTCATCTGAAAGCAGGACTGGTTGAAAATAACTGAAGGCATTGATGAGGGAAAAAAGGTGAGTGGTGCGTTGAGGTATATGTGGAGTCAAAAAACGTTATCTATGGAGCCAAAGAAGGGAATGTATGAAAGTATAGTAGTACCAACACTCTTATATGGGTGTGAAGCTTGGGTGGTAAATGCAGCAGCGAGGAGACGGTTGGAAGGCAGTGGAGATGTCCTGTCTAAGGGCAATGTGTGGTGTAAATATTATGCAGAAAATTCGGTGTGGAAATTAGGAAAAGGTGTGGAGTTAATAAAAGTATTAGTCAGAGGGCAGAAGAGGGGTTGTTGAGGTGGTTTGGTCATTTAGAGAGAATGGATCAAAGTAGAATGACATGGAAAGCATATAAATCTATAGGGGAAGGAAGGCGGGGTAGGGGTCGTCCTCGAAAGGGTTGGAGAGAGGGGGTAAAGGAGGTTTTGTGGGCAAGGGGCTTGGACTTCCAGCAAGCGTGTGTGAGCGTGTTAGATAGGAGTGAATGGAGACGAATGGTACTTGGGACCTGACGATCTGTTGGAGTGTGAGCAGGGTAATATTTAGTGAAGGGATTCAGGGAAACCGGTTATTTTCATATAGTCGGACTTAAGTCCTGGAAATGGGAAGTACAATGCCTGCACTTTAAAGGAGGGGTTGGGATATTGGCAGTTTGGAGGGATATGTTGTGTATCTTTATATGTGTATGCTTCTAGAACTGTTGTATTCTGAGCACCTCTGCAAAAACAGTGATAATGTGCGAGTGTGGTGAAAGTGTTGAATGATGATGAAAGTATTTTCTTTTTGGGGATTTTCTTTCTTTTTTGGGTCACCCTGCCTCGGTGGGAGACGGCCGACTTGTTGAAAAAAAAAAATTTGGTAGATCAGTGGTGTAGATGGTAAATAACGGTGGAACAAAGAACCTACCGTGAGGCATCTCTTTTGATAGCCTGGGATGATGAGGTAGTGTCACTGATAGTCACAAGCTGTCATCTGTCTGATTCCGTAATGCTCTAATTTCAGCAGCAAGATGTTGTGGTCTTCAGTGACAAAAGCTTTTCTTAGATCAGTAAAGAGGCCCATTGAATATTCATTGTTTCCTAGAGGGCAAATAGCGAGGTAAGGAGGGAAAGAAAGGAATAATAGTGATTATTTTTTGACACAAAACACACACACACACACACATACATTTCAGTGTACATCTCTGTGTGACATAGTTGGTGAATTCAATATAAAGCCTACTGACCACACAAAAGTGATCAATATTGTATGTAACCTGTTTGCCTCCAATCAAGGTTACTTTAATATCTATAAGAGGGATTAAAGTCAACTTTCAGTGTACAGACATATGAAGATACATTAAACTTTCAGTTAGGTTAGGTAAGGTTTGTTAGGAAACAGGACAAGTATTTCCTGGCGCTGGTCTTATCATGTAATTTCCTGCAGTTGGAGTTTTTTGGTCATCTGACCGAAGCCTTCCGCTGGCTTACCTCCACCCCCCCCCCTTCAAAAATTATTTTCATACATGGAACCATAATATTTCGGTGTACAGACACAAAAGATACATTCAACTCTCAGTGTCTAATCTTAACTGTGGTTGTTAATGTTGTTTCCAGCGATGTTGACCTTCGAATTAACCCAAAACCTTAAAAAAAGACCGAAATATTTAAAAAAGGTAAAATTGATTGTATATATAAATATATGAATCACTCATTGCAAAGGAAAGCACATTTTTATTTCAAAATTTTGAACACAACGGTGGAAATTTAGAGCAATGCAAAGATATTCTCGGTGTCTAACTTCTTTGTTGGATGGTGACCTCAGGTCCATATCCAAGTATCCCAGAGGACGAAGATAGTCCGCCGTCTGGATGTGACGTCTATTTTCGGAGATCACATGAATATGGTACCCGTCCTCTGTGAGATTTGAGTGTGGAACCTATCCTCTGTGAGATCTGGGTGTGGCACCCATCTCTGTGAGATCTGGGTGTGGCACCCATCTTCTGTGAGGCCGTCTGAATGTAAGGTCTGCCATCAACGAAGTTGTCTAGATGCCGGATCTATCATCTGAGAGGCTGTCTGGATGCTAGGTCTACCAACTGAGAGGCTGTCTTATTGTTGGGTCTGTCAGTTGAGAGGCTGTCTAGATGCTGGGTCTATCGTCTGAAAGGCTGTCTGGTTGCTGGATCTATCATCTGAGAGGCTGTCTGGATGCTGGATCCATCATCTGAGAAGCTGTGGATGCTGGGTCTATCATCTGAGAGGCTGTCTGGCTGCTGGATCCATCATCTGAGAAGCTGTGGATGCTGGGTCTATCATCTGAAAGGCTGTCTGGATGCAGGGTCTATCATCTGCGACGCTGTTTGGAAACTGTGTCTATCCTCTCTGAGACCTGAATCCTGGAGGTGGGTTGTGGATACCCTGGCTTGGAGGATATCTGAATCCTGGAGGTGGGTTGTGGATACCTGCTTGAGGTTCGAACCTGGAGGTGGGTGGATACCCTGGCTTGGAGGATATCTGAATCCTGGACGTGGCCTGTTGATACCTGGGCGGATACCTGGGTGGATACCTGGGCGGGCACCTGGGAGGACAACTGGGAGGGTACCTGGTCGGATGCCAGGGCGGGTACCTGGGCGGGAACCTGGTCGAGTTCCTGGGCGGGTACCGGTACCTGGGCTGGTTCCTGGGGGAGTCAGCTGAGCCGAAGGGATGAATACAAGTATTCGAACAATCATCTGTAATACTGTTGTACACAAAACATGGCTCTAAACACGGTACAACGATGGCTTGTTTCGTAGTGACGGTGGCGAGGCTGGTGGACAGCAGGAGCCAACAGAAGCAGCAGAGAGAGAACAGGTGGGCCTTCATGGTGCCTGTCTTAGCTTCAGCTGCTCCTTCTCTTATAACCATGTCCACCTTCACTCAGATACTTGCCAACACTCTCTAGTTGACTGGAGATTCAAAATCCCTGTTCAAGGAACCGGACCTCTTTTTTTCTTCGTTGGATGGAACCCGTGTGTCCCCCATTCCTCGGGTGATGCACGGCTCCCCTACACATTTAGCACTTTCCCATAAATATATTTAACAATAATCCTATTTACTAGCATCCTGTTAGATATATCCTTCATTTCTGTCGTCCGTCTCTCGAGGCTTTTAAATTTAGGGTCATGATTATAATCATGACCCTAAATAATAATAATAATAATCATTATTATTATTCACGTGCGGATATTCTAAATCAATTTTTATTTTTTTACTGCGACCAGTAAAAAATAAAAATATTTCGCGAAAGCTAAGGCAGAAATAAGAACCATTATTTATATATATAATAATATAGTGCTATTTTTGTGCATTTGTTTTTAAATCTAATAATATATAATAAAAATTCTCTACCTTCTTAAAATAACTGGAAATCTGAACACAAATATTGATATAGTTTAAAATGTTGGATTAAATCGTTGAAAGTTTTGTCTGTTTGGGATTATTAATCTGAGAGGCTGTCTGATGCGGATCCATCGGTCTGTGAAGCTGGGGATGCTGGTCTTCACTCTAGGGGCTTCGTGGTCGCGTGACTCATCTGGAAGCGTGGTTCAGCCGGTCTATCCAGTCGTGGCTAGTCTGGCTGCGGGTTTTATCATCTGCGTGACCTGTCGTGGATCCACGGGGTCCATCCTGGTTAGCCTGAATCCTGGTAGGTGGCTATGTGGTCCCCTGGGCTCGCGTGGATATCTGAATCCTGGAGGTGGGTTGTGGATCCCTGGCTTGCGTGGCTATCGTGGATCCAGCGTGGTGCCGTCGTGGTACCCTGGCTCCAGGTCTGAATCCTGCGTGGCCGTGTGGTACCGTGGCTCCAGGTGTGGATACCGGGCCACCAGTGGTGGTTCCAGCGTGGCAGGTGGTTCCAGCGTGGATCCAGTGCGGGTTCCACCGTGGCTCAGTCGGGAACCTGGCTCGTTGTTCCAGGCCGGGTCCGGTACCTGGGCGTGGTTCCAGGGGGCGTCAGCTGAGCCAGGGTGACTAAAAGTGTGTTTCCCAACATCATCTGCTAATACGTGTGTACACAAACCGTGGCTCAGTCGTGGTTCAGCCGTGGCTCGTTCGGCTAGGTGACTAGTCGTGGTCGAGCCGTGGTCCAGCGTGGTAGCCCTGGCAGCAGTCGTGGACCCAGGTGGCTCAGTCGTGGTTGCCGTGGCTCCAGCTTTCCAGCTGCTCCTTCGTTTTCACCATGGTCCACCTTCCACCGTGCTCATCTGCCCAGCCTCTCCAGTTGACTGGAGATCCAGTCCTGGTTCAAGACCGGACTCCAGTGTTTTCCGTTGGGTGGACTCCGTATGTCCCACCGTCTCCTCGTGATCACCCGGCTCCCCTACAATTTATGCACCTTCCCATACGTATAGTCGTGCTAAGTCGTGTATTTACTGGCATCCAGTTTGGTATAGCCTTCAGTTTCGTCGTACCGTCTCACGGAGCTCTAACTTGGCCCATTGGATTTAATCATGACCCTAAGTCAGTGACTCCAATCTAATCCATTAGTTATATTCCGTGCATATTCAAATCATGTCTCAGTCGTGTTACTGCGACCAGTAGTGAAATAGGTGTCCCGCGAAGCTGGCCAGAAATAGACCCAGTCTTTCATGACTAAGTATAATATCACGTGCTAGTTTTAGTCGTGCTCCGTTCGTGACTCCAATGATCTATAATGAAATCTCTAGCCGTGCTTAGACGTATCAGCTGGAACTCCACGAATAGCCTTGATCCAGTTTAGATCCATGTTTGAACCACTTGGGTCCATGCTTTAACTCAGCCTTTTTGTTAGTTGTTCCAGAAGGAATCATTGCGACTCCCCCTGGTGTTTCTTACCGTGGCTCCAGTCGTGGTTCCAGCCGTGGCTCCAGTCGTGGTTCCAGCCGTGGCTCCAGTCGTGGTTCCAGCCGTGGCTCCAGTCGTGGCTCCAGCCGTGGCTCCAGTCGTGACTCCAGCCGTGACTCCAGCCGTGACTCCAGTTGTGACTCCAGTTGTGACACCAGCCGTGGCTCCAGCCGTGGCTCCAGCCGTGACTCCAGTTGTGACTCCAGTTGTGACTCCAGTTGTGACACCAGCCGTGGCTCCAGTCGTGGCTCAAGCCGTGACTCAAGCCGTGACTCCAGCCGTGACTCCAGCCGTGACTCCAGTCGTGACTCCAGTCGTGGCTCCAGTCGTGACTGGAGTCACGACTGACCAAAAAGTTAATAGCCCCATAACTGAGAGATGGATATTCTTTTTCCAGTGATATCCAAAACTGAGACAATGATTTCATTTTCTGTTTGGACACCAGGGTCTGGAATATCTTCATACAGCTGGCAAAGCTTCCGCTTCACACGCGGAGGGCCCGGGTTCGACTTCCGGCTGGGCAGAAACATTTCGACACGTTTCCTTACACCTGTTGTCATGTTCACCTAGCAGCAAATAGGTACCTGGGTGTTAGTCGACTGGTGTGGGTCGCATCCTGGGGGACAATATTGAGGACTACAATGGAAATAAGTTAGACAGTCCTCGATGGCCCACTGACTTTCTTGGATTATCCTGGGTGGCTAACCCTCCGGGGTTAAAAATCCGAACGAAATCTTATCTCTTATCTCTAACGAAATAGTTGATCAAATGAAATCGCTGAACTAGAGATGGCTCCAGCCTCGTCTTGTTCCATATTTGTGTCTCTTAATAAAACCCTGTGTAAGAGAGAGAGAGAGAGAGAGAGAGAAGGGAGGTAGTTCCTTAGAAACGTAAGGGAATTTCCATGGTAAAATTTGCTGTCAGTTTGGTATATTTATACGTATTGAGTTCATATTTGTGGGATTTTCCTCTTCCCCGACCCGTGGGAAACACACCTTTATTGAGGTGAGGGGAGTGTGGGGGGGACTGTGAGGGGAGTGTGTGGGGGAACTATGTGGGGAAACTGTGAGGCTATACGCAGAATATTCTGCTCTGAGATTTGTATCCTGATGTATATATGATTATTATTAGTAGTAGCAGTAGTAATAGTAGTAATATCAAACCCACTCCTCTCCCCTCCCTTGACGCGCCAATATATACACGTGCTACGGAGAATTATGTAGGAATTATCACTATAAAACACACACACACACATACAGTTGTTAGGAAGTGGAATAGCCTAGAAAGTGACATAGTGGAGGCAGGAACCATACATAGTTTTAAGAAGAGGTTTGATAAAGCTCATGGAGCAGGGAGTGAGGGCCTAGTAGCGATCAGTGAAGAGGTGGGGCCAGGAGCTATGACTCGACCCGTGCAACCACAAATAGGTAATTACACACACACAATTTATATATATATAATATAATATATATATATATATATATATATATATATATATATATATATATATATATATATATTCTAGGTAGTAGGTTGGTAGACAGCAACCGCCCAGGGAGGTACTACCGTCCTGCCAAGTGAGTGTAAAACGAAAACCTGTAATTGTTTTACATGATGGTAGGATTGCTGGTGTCCATTTTTCTGTCTCATAAACATGCAAGGTTTCAGGTACATCTTGCTACTTCTACTTACACTTAGGTCACACTACTCATACATGTACAAGCATATATATATATACGCACCCCTCTGGGTTTTCCGCTATTTTCTTTCTAGTTCTTGTTCCTGTTTATTTCCTCTTACCTCCATGGGGAAGTGGAACAGAATTCTTCCTCCGTAAGCCATGCGTGTTGTAAGAGGCGACTAAAATGCCGAGAGCAAGGGGCTAGTAACCCCTTCTCCTGTATATATTACTAAATGTAAAAGGGGAAACATTCATTTTTACTTTTGGGCCACCCTGCCTCGGTGGGATAAGGCCAGTGTGTTGAAAGAAAAGAAAGATATATATATACATAATATATATAATATATAATATATGTATATATATATATATATATATATATATATATATATATATATATATATATATATATATATATATATATTATAATATATATATATATTCAACAAGTCGGCCGTCTCCCACCGAGGCAGGGTGACCCAAAAAAAAAGAAAAAAAAACAAAAAGAAAATACTTTCATCATTCAACACTTTCACCACACTCACACATTATCACTGTTTTTGCAGAGGTGCTCAGAATACAACAGTTTAGAAGCATATACGTATAAAGATACACAACATATCCCTCCAAACTGCCAATATCCCAAACCCCTCATTTAAAGTGCAGGCATTGTACTTCCCACTTCCAGGACTCAAGTCTGACTATATGAAAATAACCGGTTTCCCTGAATCCCTTCACTAAATATTACCCTGCTGACACTCCAACAGATCGTCAGGTCCCAAGTACCATTCGTCTCCATTCACTCCTATCTAACACGCTCACGCACGCTTGCTGGAAGTCCAAGCCCCTCGCCCACAAAACCTCCTTTACCCCCCCTCTCCAACCCTTTCGAGGACGACCCCTACCTCGCCTTCCTTCCCCTATAGATTTATATGCTTTCTATGGAAAATTTTCTAGGGGTGATTACCTGTACGTACCTCAACATTACATGCATACAAGTAATCTTATTGGGAGACAAAAATCTTGTTTACCGTAGTCACCCCGTGTAGACATGTGAGAAAACTTAACCACCACTGGTCACGGCAGGTGGTTCCTTCGACCCTCACAATCTTATCCATATCTATTCGGGACCAGTATAAATTGGATAGCACCCACAAGTACGGCGCTATTAATTAATTGTGGACTGTATAGATTATATTAGTTTAACTGAATGAAGAGGGGGGGTAGGTTACACTTGGATATACCCATCAAGGAAAAAACACTTGTGCATAATCCCACCACTTACCAGATATTCTCTGGTGGTCACTTGATGTAGCTGGATCACCCATAACCTATCCAATTACAACATACCTAACTGGCCAGTATCAGTCTGCTATAACTAGAAA